AAGGATATTTCGATGGTGGGTGATAGAGGACCAAACGGTGATTTAAATTAGATATAATTTATCTATAGTAAAAAGGCTTTTCGAAAAATTTCTAAATCAGGTTTTGCCATTTTCTATAGAAATAGACCATTTTTGTATATTTCTCAATAAGCCTCCCGGACTCACTTGTTGAGATCCCATGCGAATCTTTTCATTATTTTATAGTACTCAGTGAGTACCAACACCTTACATAGATCCGACTTGTAGAGAGCCTATTTCTTGGGGGATCTGAGCCTCCCAAAATTGTGATTTTGGTGAAAATCATGATTTGGGGGAGATCTCTTGAGCGATAGGAACTGTGTAGAGAGCTGATACTCTTGGCGAAGTAAGTACTCAATAGGATCTCTCTGTAACCAAAGTTTCACTTCTCCAACACGTTCCATTCATGAGATAGGAAAAGCCACAAAATACCGAAAATGACCAGTTTTCCGTGTATTTGGTGGTACTGGGTAAGTCACCAATAATAAATCCAATCAAACTCAAAATTTTTTCTATAATGTACAATTATGATACGTACTTACGGTAAAAATTTCAAGTCAATTGTCGATGTTTTTGACGAGATATCCATGTTGGAGAAATTTTTTTTAAAAATGGATTTTTTTGACGATAGTACCCTCAGAGCAAATTGAATATCTCAACAACGGAACAATATTTTCGCGAGTGGATGGCGTGGAAATTTGAAGTACCTGAACTGAGCTAGTTGGACTCTGGCCTACATGGACTGACGACCCATATGGAAAAATATGCATGTGGACCATTGCTTGTGTTGAAAAATTAATTCAGCCTACCAAGCGCTTTTCCGTTGAGTCACATATCGAAAGATGCAGTTTTCACGGGCTATCTTTTGCTGATAATATTTTTTTGGGAGAGCCTTGTTGTGACATACTTTTAGGGCAAAAATACTAAAAAAATCCAAAGAAAAATGATTTTTTTTTAATGTTTTTTTCTAGAAAAAGGGGCACATTCGGTCGAGATTATACTTCAAAATCTTTATCTATGATAATGAATTTAATAGATCTAATCAAGATACATTAAATGCCACTTAAAAAGTGGGTTGTTCAATAGTAAATTATGTTGTCGTGAAGTGTTAAATCGAATTCTTGAAAATTTGTCGAACTTTTGACATAATAGGTGAGGGTGGGTTCAAAGACCATCTTATACCTCTTGATTGGCATTTCAGAAAGAGTTAAAAAATTGGGTCTAAGAATAACTTTTCACAGGCTATCAAATGGTATGACTAATGTCGAAAACAAAAATTTCGTATGTAGGCCTCTGTTTAAATTGGTCGTTTTTTTCATGGACCCTCTCTTAAGCTATAAGATCTTTCATATTACAATGTTCGACAAAAAAGAATGAAATTCCGTAACAAACGATATTTTTTTATCTTTATACAATGCTAGCATTTTTATCTCAAAATAGACTTATATTCTGAAAGCTCGTGTACGACTGCACAAGTTTCACATTGAGTGTTTTTCTGCATATTGTGTCCTTTCGTAGCAAAATGCAAAGTTGTCAGTGCTTCTTTAAAAAATTTCCATTTTGTGAAATTCCATAACGGAAGGTATTTTTTCTATAACTTTGTTGTGCTTCAACAAGAATAAAGAAAATTTATGATGATGGTAATTTGCAAGGATCTCTACTGCTGGTAGAAATTTCAGAATGTTTACTTCTGTTGTGGCGGAAATATAGATTATAGAAGATCAAAAACTGAAATTCTGTAATGATTGACCACGCTCATACACTATATTACCGACTTTTTTCCATAGAAATTCAAAAGATTGCGTAACTTAGCACAGTATTTTTTACCACAATACTCACTGTGAACAAATGATTTCAAGCTAACTTATCATTAATATATTAATTTATTGAGAAATGTTTGCTCTTTCATTTGTTGTATTTGAAATCATTTTCGCTCCTCCTAACTTCTAAACTAGATGTTCTGTAAAGATTTGGAATCCATATTCGGAAAGAACATAAAGTTCTAATTTGCACCCGATGTTTTCAATTTTCTGCAAGCGCCTTGAAAAGGTTAAAAAATGAGTGAACATTTCGACGATTCGTTATTGTGAAACAGGATTTAAAAAGAGTGTTGAAGTATATGGGATAGAAATTTGCATCTTCCTCTCCTCCAGACAGACTATGACAGATGTTGTTGACATACGATTACAGACCGTATATCAATAGTGGATCGTTACAATATATTAACTACTTCTTTATGGTATTTGTGGAAGACTAAGGAAAAGAAGAGTGAAAAAATGTTGCAAGATACATGAAATAAAACGATCTCTCTGATAGACAACAACAGTTACATTATGTTTCACATTTTAATCTTGCAAGAATTGCGCTAACAGCTTTTCAAATGTATCTATTCTTTTTAACATAGATTTATACATTTGGTATTGAAATCTATTTTCGAACATGGATTGATTATCGAATTGAATTTATTCTGTTGATATTGTTGATAGTTGAATGTAGTTTTGAATATTATTATTTTATCTCTTCTAAATCTGTTTCTCGTCGAACTTGGTCTATTATGCAAATTCTTGTAATTATTCAAATAATTCGTCTTATTCGAGCAACTGAAGTATGAATTTATATTTTCGATAATAAATTTTCTTAATTTTCTGTTATAGTATATAATAGTTAATTTAAATATTCTTCTTGAACGTGTAGCTAATCGTTATGTAACACTATCACTTGAATTATGTAAAGCATATATATTAAGTGAAGACGAAGTACTTTCAAAACTGCATCGTATTATTGAAATTGATCGAATTCGAGAACATTTTCATAAAGATTCAATAAGACGACGAGATGAAATTATTGATGAATTAAGTAAAATTTAAAAAATTTGAAACAATAGTAGAAAAGATATTTCAATTTAGCTTTTATTCAAAGTGAACATCCAAATGTATCAGCAAGTGTTAAAACACGTACAGCTATTCAAAAACTACTTAACTATTCAAAAAATATAGTTATTGTTTAATTGAATTTTTTTGTTTGTTTTATTTATCTTTGCTTGATTAGGTTCATCATATGATGAATAAAGGATTATTAGGAGAAAATGAAGCTGATCGAATTACAGAGGTTTTATTTATTTATTTTTTATTGACATACAAATAGTTTAGTTTAATATTTAGAATATTAATAAACGTCTGCATACAGAACTTGTTCCATCTGTTTTATTCTTTCCTATCCCAGTGAGTTTAATCTCAAGATAAAATTTCTTTATAATCCTATTGATTGTAGTTCAATTTTTTACATGTATTTCCATGGCTTCATGATCCTGATGTACTTGAATATGTATTGAGTCGTCTTCATGTTAAATCATTTTCATTAAATGAATATATTTATAAAGTAAATAATGATTCTCAAGCATTATTTTTTATTACAGCTGGTTATGTTGAGGTATAAATAGGTTTTATTTTCTAAAATAATTGTTTTAAAAATTTAATAGACAATAAGGAATATGCCAAAATATCATAATGCTTTATCAATTGAAAAATTTCATAAAAATAAAGAAAATAATTCAAATGAAGATATACAATCAAAAAAAGATTCATATTCTTTTAATCAAAGATCAAATTATTTTCAAAAACAATCTTATGAAATTAATTCAATAGATGAATCTCAAACTAATCATCATCTTTGTCATCAATGTTATGTTGATGTTCAAAAAATAGATATTATTGATAAGAATACTTTATTAAATGAAGATTTATTTCAATGGTCTGATGATGATTTCGAACAAAAACATTTATTCGTTGATAATACGAAACATTTATTAAATGTTAATGGAAGTATTCTTTCTCAGCTTAATATCAATGATTCTATACTCGATTTTTTTCCAACTAAAGAATCAACTATTGCTTATCGATTGTTACATGCACCAGGCGATATTATTGGTCATATTGATTTACTTAATGGACAAAAACATACAGAAACATGTAAATGTATTACCAATACTCTCGTAAGAAAATGAAATTTGTAAAAAAAAGTAAAATATTAAATTAATATATATTTTAGGTTTGGTATTTAAAATCAAATGATCTGATTGTTCTTATTGAACGTTTTAATCATTTACGGATCTTAGAAAAAATATGGCATTATACTGCATTACAATTAGCTGAAACTGTTTTATATGAATATTTGAATACAGTGGTTTGTTAGATATTTAGTATATTTTAAAGCATTTTAAATAAAATTATTTCAGTCATACAATGCAACAGAACAAGAACGTTTTCAGATTTATGGTCATTTAAAACGTGCATTTCTTGTACCTGAATCATATTTAGTTGAACATAAAATAATCTATTCATCACATGAACTTATTCTCGTACAAGGTATGCATATAAGCTATAATATAAGAAGGTGTCGATATCGAATTTTCCATTGAAAAATCAACTAGTTGACTGTACAACTTTCAAGTCCATTAGTTGTTTTTAAAATGTAGAAACGTAAAATTGTTATATACTAGTCGAAAATAAATAATTTTCAACTAGTGAAAAGTTTTCTATGTAGATTTAACTTAGATATGTGTAGGTAAATGTCGAAACTAAGAAGTCGCTGACAAAGATGAGTTTTCTTCTCTAGCAATAACCTTCAAGACTCTACAAGACTTTTATTACCAGCAGCTCAACTTGGTCTCATCTACATGTACGTACAACTGAGCAGTCTGATCACATGAAAAAAAGGTCAAATCTCGATGAAAAATTGTAAAAATGAAAATATTGACTGAGACTTGATTCTGTTCTCAATGTGATCGGTCTGTTCACTTGTACGCACACCTAGATGAGACTAAACTGCATTGCTCACAAGAAGAGTCTAATAGAATCTCAGAAGTTCTGGCAAAAGAATAAATCTCATATTTGTCTGTAACTGTTCAGCTTCAGTACATTCCTACACATACTCTAGTTTAAATCTACATAGAAAACTTTTCATCCATTGAAAATTATTTATTTTCGATTAGTGCATAACAATTTTACATTTCTCCATTTTAAGGGCAATCGGATTTTAAAGTTAACTTTGACTAATGTTTCAACTCACTGATGAACTTTTTACAAGTTTGAAAGATAAATTTCCTTATTTCTTTTAGGTCAATTACAAAATATGATTTCATCATTGATTTATACTGGCCCATGTTTTATTCAAATCGAATTTGGTCAATGTGGTCTTAAACCATTAGTAAGCATAATGATTAATTTATTTATAAAAAATATTAATAATTGTTATTTATTATTAAGAATATAAATGAAACAAAAATACTCGTTCTTCGAAATTCTCATTATCATCATACACTTTATGATGAATTTGTTTTACCACATGATTTACCGGGTTTATTAACACATGTCATTTATGATGAAAAATTAGGCATTCTTTTACCTCGTATTAGCATTAAATATGAACATGTAAATACAATAGATTGTGATAAGCAATAGAAAGTCTATGTTTCCGTTTTCTAGATTGTCACACAATCTAATATTGATGAATCATCAAAAGAAATGATCAAGAAAACATTGTTAGGTCGATTTTTAGAAAGTCTACCAAAATTTCAACGACGTATTATGAATTCATAACTATTGACAAATTTATATTTATGTTTGTTCTTTGAATTTGTCAACTTTGTTTGATATTTTCATCACTAAAATATTAACGATTCTCCATCATTTTAAAGTTTTGATTTTCTTAAAATGTACAGAATCACAGAGTTTTTTTTTAAGTAGTACTCACAAACATGCATAGCACAGTCCTATTCTAGCGACACCTTAAAAAGAGGTCTATTAAAGAAGAAGTTCCTGTCAACCAATGAAATGATTGTTCTTCTTGTACTTCAGTTTCCTGTCTGATGGATTGAAAAAAAAAACAATCTATGAATGCATAGCTATACCATATGTTGTCTTTTTTCTGTCATATCATCATATGATTTTATTTCTATTGATACTAGCGACAAAATCCTTTATGATTGTAAATGTGTTTGCGGTTAGATATTTTATTTAACATGTGTTTGTAAAACTTTATTCAACTAGCTTTAATCGATATATTTTATTATAGTATGTATTTTATTTAGATTTATTTGAAATGTATCTATCATCATATAATGATGATAACTCAAATAAATTGGCCACCACATTCGATACTTTATTAAAGCATACAATATGTTCTTTTGTTCGTTCTCAAGTACTTTTTGTTGCCATTCGACTCAATCTATTCACTATAATTGAAGAATCTCCAACAGGTTCACTATCATATGAAGAAATGGAAAAATCTAATATATCATTATCAATGTTATTATATCTTGTTTATCTTCGTTTACTTAAACGATGTTCAAATTCAAATCGTTATGAATGTACACATGTTACACGTACATATCTTGTTTCATCACGTCAAAATTATGTTGGTTTAGGTATTGGTGTTTGGGATCATCGTCGTCAATATACATTTTTTCTTCGTCTTAGTGAAACATTAAAATATGGTATAAGAACAAGTGAAGATAGTAATGAACAATTATGTCTTTGGTCAATATTCGAACAAAAACATGATCCAATGATTTTTTTTGCACGAATAATGTCATCATTTACTCGTTGTACAATCAATGAATTATGTGATCATGTAGATTTTTCATCATATTCAACATTGCTTGATATTGGTGGTTCATTAGGTGATCTTAGTCGAACAATAATTAAACGATATCCACATATAAATGCATTTAGTTTTGATTTACCTGAAGTAACTTATTATGCTTCATCAGTAAATATCGATCATTCAAATATTCATTATGTAGGTGGGAATTTTTTTGAAGAAAAATGGCCAAATGAAATAAATGAAAATACAAAAAATATTGATCTAGTTTCTCTTAAATATATTCTTCATGATTGGCCATATGATCGACGAGAATTATTAATTGAAAAAATTTATAAATTATTAAAAAATAAAATTCAAATAAGTGGTGGTAATGGTACATTATTAGTTATTGAAAAAATGATTGATAAAGATCGTCAAAATATAACAGCATTATCTACTAGTATATCAATGGCAGTTGAATGTGGTGATGGTATTGGATATGATGCAACACAGAATGAATATAAACAGTTATTACTTCAAGCCGGTTTTCAGCGTATACAAAGTGTACCATTAAGTGGTCCAATGGTTGCTCTATTTGCTCATGTCATTTAATTATTCTACGGTGCAATGATCTTTTTTCTCTTTTATTAGCATTTTTGGCATTTTATGATATTCTATATAATAGTAGTTATTAATTTTCATGGTGAATGTAAACTTTGTTTTTAATATATTTGGAATAAAAATATAGACGAGCATGATAATTGAATATATCACTTTTTAGTTTTTTTTTTTCCAATTATTCATCGTTTCAGATGTCATTTTTACTTTGTCAAATACAAAGAAGTCTTCGGCTGAATATGTTTACGACTCAGGTATTAATGTTGATCATAGTTTTGTTAGAAAATACAACTGAAATTATTTTCAATAATAAAATATTACATGTGCATTTAAATATTGGAGAAGATAAGAAAATAAAACATTTTATTTTTTTTACATTTTTTCTCTTACGAGAGAACATCCTTCAAGTGTGAACCTTCACTTTCAATCAGTCTTATGCCAGTTTGTAGAGCTCGATGAGCTAATTACGATAGCATAAAGCGTTCTTCGTCACAGATTGTCTTTGAGTTAAGTCAATCCCAATGTCAAAAAAGTGACTGTAAGTTGTTGTTTCAAAATTTTAATTTTTACATTAGTTTAATTTCTAACATTTTAAATTTTAACAGCAAATACACCTTAATTAAATGTACATATCTACACAATTAACATAAATAGAAGTTCTGACTACGTCTATACTTGAAATGTTTCAATACTATCAGTACTACAAAGGTGTGACATATTAAAAATAAATATTGATTATGTTTCAATTACCTGTCTCATGCTTATTTTTTGTTCTCATAAACATACGAGAAAACAACTAAATAGAATGCCGACTACCGAAAATGAGGTATTTGACAAGTTTTTAATTATTTTGTCGTTGAAATAGTATTCCCCAGAGAGTCTTGATCAGTATTGAAAAAGAAAATAGTTGAATTTCATGCATTCAAAATATTGATAGTATTGATATGTTCAAAGCATAGACTTAGTTAGAATTTCTATTTATGTTGACTTTGTAAATATGTACAGTTAATTAAGAGATATTCATGGTTCAAGTATTAAATGTTGAAAACTAAACTAACATATAAAATAAAATTTCCGAAATAATAGCTTTCAGTTATATTTTTTTTGCATATGAGATCAACCGAATTTATCGAAGAAAATCTATAGAGAAGAAGAATTTATGCCATCGTATTCAACTTATTGAGCTCAACAAATTAGTATAAAGTCGATTGAAAACGGAGATGCACATTTGAGAATCTTCTCTTGTTAGTTCATATACTTCAAGTCTTGTACTAATTTCTTATTCGTGATCAAAATGTTATTTTTATCATTTGAATGATGGTCTTTTCTGTAATTGTTGACGAAGTATCTCAACAATAACAATGATCTATTTGATAATATTTTCCTACAGAATTCTTTTTTAATTAAATGTATTCAACAAATAATAAGAAATACACATTCATTAAAAAGTTAGTATTTAGATTTTGAACAGAAAATTTTGGATAATTTTTAAGTTGAATAAATTATCTGCAGTCAATTTTATTATCTATTTTGAATTTATCGAATAGCTACCTCTTCTAACACCTGTTACTGGTATGATCAATACTGATCAACCATCACGTAGTAAACTCGTTGGTTATCCAGGTCGAATGATGTTAAGAGATATAAAACGACGTACACTTATTCGAAAATATTGGCCTGAACGATTTCGATATCAAACATTACGTAAAAATATGATATTTCCAGATTCATTTAAAGTAAGAATGAATTCTTTTTTCTTGTAATTTAACTGTGTTTTTTTTTGTTTATTATAGAATTATTGTCGAGAAGAAGAATTTTCAACATTTACAAATGAAACTCAACCCTGGTGGAGATGGAATCGATGTACCTTAACGTAAATATTATTTTAATTGTGACTTGATACAATAAGAAATTTTTTTAAATAATTTAGATCTCGTCAATGGGGTGTTATTGAACAATATCGTCTTGGCCGTATAATGTGGCGTCGTTTTGCTGATTATAATCAAATGTCAGGTGTTATGCGTTCAACTTTCGATCGATATACAAGACAAAATACTGAAATGATGAGTCGTAGACGGCGAATTATTCGCGAAGATCCTTAGAAATATTTCATTCTTTTTGTATTTTTTTTCTTTCCTTCGATTGGTGTTTTTGTTAAACATGTAATCATATGTCGACACATGCGTGTTGACTCTGAAAGAAAAGAAACTTTTCAGTCATCAACTCATACAGAAGATGATGCAATTGAAAGTAAGATGTGAAATCCTTCTTGTGCGATATAATTCATGCCATACTTATATATGTTGGTTAGTGTTGTTTCTCTTAGTTAAAAAGAAAAAAAACTTATGTACGTCAGTAATTTCGCAATCATATTAAAAATTGGGAAAAATTTCATTTAATGAAATGTAAGAGCACAGCATTAAACTTCATCAGCTTTTCTACCTTGTTGCAAAGACTGTATCTGATTTCGATGGTGTATATAATATGAATTTTTCATACAGATTTTTATATTCTATTCGTTTATTCTACACATATTTCTAAATTAAGATTTTTATTTCAGATGTCTAATCAGGACCCTATATCAAGGAATGATAGACGACCAGAATTCAACTATAATAAAGTAAATTTAATTTAAGAAAAAAATTATTTATTCATTTGTTTATTGAAATGTAGATCAATCAACATGTGACAAGTCTTTTTGGCCCAAGCGATGATGAGGACGATAATGAACAAGTGCCTCGTTCACCATTCATTCTTACCGGATTACCACCGGAGGTTTGCTTGTTTTTTTTTCATTTGAAAAATTTTAATTGAAATTTTTTCGTTTTGTTTTTTCTTAGCCTCAAGAAGGTAATATTGAATATAAACTTAAATTAGTTGATCCAAATCCATTTCGTCTTGAACATTTAATAACTCAAATGAATTGGCGTTTACAAGAAGGACAAGGCGAAGCTTTATATGAAATTGGTGTTGAAGATTGCGGTACATTAAGTGGTGTTAGTAGTGAAGAATTAGAAGCATCATTAACAACATTAAAAAAAATGGCTGATAGATTAGGTGCATCAATAACAATACTTCATGAACGTCAATTAGAAAATGAAAGACATATTGTTGAAGTACTTGTAAGAAAAGTTCCTGATGATCAGTATTTTATTGATTTACGTGTTGCTGTATTGGGTACGGTTGATAGTGGAAAGAGTTCACTTGTTGGTGTTTGTACACATGATGAACTTGATAATGGACGTGGTCGAGCAAGACTTAATTTATTTAGACATTTACACGAAATTCAAACAGGAAGAACATCATCAATAACACATGAAATTCTTGGATTTAATAATCTAGGAGAAGTATGTTGTAAAATCAAATATTCTTTCTTAAATTAATCTTTTTTGAAGAGTATTGATTATGGTTGTTGTCGAACAGCAAATGAAATTTGTAATCGATCAACCAAAAGTAAAAGAAATATTATTTATATAATGATTATATTTTACTTTTTTCTTCTAATCTTTAGTCATAACATTTATTGATCTTGCTGGTCATACAAAATATATGAAAACAACCTTATTTGGTCTTGCTGCACATGCTGCTGATTTTGCAATGTTATGTGTTGATGCACCATCAAGTGTTGGTATGTTATTAATTAGAGATAAAGCAAAAAGAAAAAAGCACATTTTAATTTCTTAATTTAATTTAGTTGATACAACACGTGAACATTTTTCATATGCAAGGACGTTGGATGTACCAGTTTTTGTTGTAATTAATAAAATAGATTTATGTTCAAAAACTAGTATACAACAAACAATAACTTGTTTAACATATTTATTAAAACATGGAAATGGTTCTTCACAACTTCGACCATATGTTGTTCAAAATGAAGAAGATCTTGTTAAAGCAGCTGATATGTTTGTTGAGAAAAGTATATGTCCAATATTTACTGTATCATGTGTCACTGGTGAAAATATTGATTTATTAAAAAAATTTCTTAATATTCTTCCACCTCGTCTGAGTACTAAAGATCAAGAAAGACTTTCATTATTACCTGTAGAATATCGAGTATGCTTTTATTTATTTCATTTGATATTTTATGTTCAAAACATTTTTTTTTTCATTACCAGATTGATGAAATCTATAGAAATAATGAATCAGGCGCGGCTGTTGTTGGTGGTACATTAAGAAGGTATAAATACAAAAATTAAAAAGAATCTACGTATTGATCGTTTTCTTTTCCTACTTTTAGTGGTTTAATACGAGAAGGAGAAAGTTATCTGGTTGGTCCTTTATTAGATGGTACATTTTTACCCGTTAAAGTAACTACTGTACATAGATATAGGGTCCCAAGACGCATAGTTCGTGCTGGTCAGGCTGCTTCACTTAGTTTACTTCATATAGGAGGCAGTCGATTACGCAAAGTAAATAATTTTATTTTATTCATGATTAAATATGATTCTTTGGTTGTTTATTTGATCAATTAGGGTATGGTACTTGTATCACCAACATCAAATCCTCAAGCATGTTTTGAGTTTGTTGCGGAAATTTATCTTACAATGCATCATACAAATACACCAATACGTAAAGGTTTTGAAACAACTGTTCAAATAGAAAATATTCGTCAAACAGCTTTAATTATTGAAATGGATAAAGTATGAAAATTTATTTATTTTGTTTTTTTATATGGATATTTATTAAATAATATTATCTTTTTTAGGAAGAATTGCATGTAAATAAACAAACTATAGTTAAATTTCGATTTCGAAATCGATGTGAATATGTTCTTGAAGGATCGCGATTAATGTTTCGTTCTGGTCAACAAACGAAGGGCAGTGGCCGTATAATAAAAGTTCTTCCTCAATTAGCACAATAGAATTACAATAGTGTAACTGCTTATTTTTTTATCATTATGTATATAAATATTTATTTTCTCGCGTGATTGCGTGTGTAAATTTTTTTTTGTATATCTATATCGAATCTTAGTTTTTTTCCCTGTATCCGTTCCTTGTTTATATTTGATCTCCCTTTGAACACATGTAGACAAATAGAGTAGGTTATAGATATATTTCTTCAGTTCGTGTGATGTTCATTTCTCATTCGTTTTAGGTTTTTTTGCTTATTTTTACAAGAGTTCAAACATGAGTTGACATGCTCTATTTTGTACTTGTAATATCTATCTTTCTTTTGACCGATAAAACACACATAGACATGAAAACAGGATATGAAAATATGTTTGATATTTATTTTTTTCAAGAAATGCTTCGATCACCGGCGGAATTGCTATATGATAAATTGAGTGGTATTGCATGTCTATTTAAACCAGCCGACATGAAGATGCAACATTTTTTTACTATTATACAAGAAAGATTAGCATCAGGTATTCGATTTGAATAAATTGAAACAATGAAAGAGATAATATTGTCTAGCATTCAATCAAATGTCTTGTCGACCACCAATGAATCGTGTTGATATTATACGTGATAGTCAAACAGGAAAAGAAATGGTTGTTTCATCTGTTGATCTATCTGATACGATACAAGGTTGAAATAAAGTTTAGAGTATTATTTGGAAAAGAAATTTATTTATATTATTTTAGCATTGGGTCCACGTTATCAATTAGAAGATTTTGATATTCAATCAATTTTTCCATTAGAATCTTTTTCATCTGGATTACAGAGTAAAATTATTTTTGAATATATTTCATTTTATTTATCGTTTTTAATCAAAAGTTGTGAGTATTAATGATGAATCAAAACGTCTTGATCAAATTAAAGATGGTCAACCGTTGCGGGTAACCTATTTATTGAAGAATGATATAATTCATTATAGATCCTCTTTTTCTTTTTCCGATATAAGTGTTATCATATTCAAGGCAAAATGGGTGAATCAACGAATACACTCGACGCTAATGGAGTTATTGTTGAAAAAAGCACCTACAGTACGTAGCTATAAATATAATTCGACTTGAATATGTTTTTAGTATCACATAAAGATAGAAAATATTAAGACTATCTATGTTATTATTTTCAAGAAAAGAGATTATCTTAAATGTGACTAAAGAAGTGCTAATAAACAGTAGAGCCTATTGGGTCCAAAATCTTCGAATTCAAACCAAGCTAACAGAAAGATTTGAGACCTGGATTCAGGTCTGAGATCAATTCGACGAGCCCTAATGAACAGTGAATACTTCTGAAAGTTATACTGAAATAATTCTAAAAACTAAATATTCAAAAGACAGTTTTAATAGACAAAGAGTATCTAAGGAGAAATTGCACAAAATCTCAGTGCATTTTGCTCTCATTTATCATTCTTGAAAAAAATTTTCTCTTATGCCTAAAGATAGCGAATTTCAAGTTCCACAAAATGGTCAACTGTGTTTTTCATATAATTTTTTATTGTTGGTGGAAAATGAAAAAGAAATAGAACATATACGGAGTTGCTCAACTGCAACGATCAAGGAAATAAAATACTAGAGACAATTTTTTAAAAAAATCTTGCTAAAAGTTCAACTATCTCACAAAATTCTTCATCTTTGAATGTATGTCTTAAAATTTTTCAAAAAATATTTGAAAGAAACATTTTTAAAGTAAAACACGTGCAAACACTGGAAAAGAAGTTCTTTGTCTAATAGATCTATGCCATTGTTGATTTTTGATTCAAAACAATCTAAATATTTTCACGATTCAATTTAATATTTATACCGTTTCTTTCACAATTAAATTCTATATTCGATAACATAATAATAAACCTTTCATAGAGTAGGTTTGACTTCTGAAAACTTGATTTGCCAAAAATGCACTCAAAATTACAGACGCTTTTCAATTTCAAGCCTTTTTCTCGTAAATATTAGTTTCGAAGACCTTGGGCAGATCGATAACACATAGAACATAAAATTCTCTCGTTATCGGTATTAAGTAATTTATTTTTGGCATCGACTTTGACAAGCAAAAACTTTACAGAAATCAATAAGCATCAACAAAGAATAGAAAGCCGAAGTTGGATGACTGAATAAACATGAGTATTTTAAATTTGGCACCGACAAGACTAAACTTGTTTGACAAATAAAATCGACAATTTCGTACAGCTTGAAATTCTATATCTTTTAGCATATAAAGACAATTTTTTATGTTTATACAATAAGAGAAATCGGCAGAAAAATTTATTGCAATGTATTCTGGAACATTTGTTACTTTTATATCCCAAAAACATCGAATAGATTTTTTGATTTAGAACATGTAAATCGATCTAAAATTGAACGTGTTTGTGCTCTAATTCAAAGTAGTTTTCAAGCATCGATGTTTAAGTATGTTACACATCTTTCTTAATCTTTTAATTTTATGTATCCTTCTAAAATCAAAACAAACAGAATGTCCGGAATCAGTCCATTTACTCAAGCTGGATTTGAATTAGCTAAAGCTGGTTTATGGAAACCTCGTGATCATACTCTACCACCTATAGTTTATGGTCTTAAATTACTTAATTTTAAAGCACCATTTTTTGATATTGGTATGTATATCTAAATTCATTCAATAATAAAATTTAACTTTCTTAAATAGAAATGTATGTTATTAATGAACAAGAAATTCATTTAAAAGAAGTAATTCTTGATATTGGTATACGATTACGTACAAGTACACTTTCAGAATCAATACGTCGTGCAGGTATTGGTCCATTTAATATTCAACATTCTCTAGTTATTGATGAGATAACACCTCATAATCTAATTAATAATATAAATACAATTGAAACAATAATTGAAAAATCAAATTTATTAGATAAAACAGTTCTTATTAATAAAACACATAAAGAAGAAACAAAATTACTTGGAAGACAGCCAGATGAAAGTTCAATCGATCTTTATAAATCAAAACGACCTATCAATCAACAATCACAAACACATACAAATGAATATGAAAATAATGATACTAATAAATGATTACATAGGCTACGCCCTTTTTTTTCATGTTGTCGTTTTTTTCTTCATGTATGTTGTCACGCATCATCGCTTGCTGTTATTTTCTAACGAAAAAAAAAATACTGATAGAAGAAAAGTAAATTCTCATATGTACATATAAGTGTATTTTCATTGTTTATTACGACGAACGAGATAATGAACAAGCTAATACTCTCTTTTCTTGGTATATTTATTGTATTGAATAACACCCAGGGACAACGCCATTATCAAAAGACTGAAAGAAATGCCACGCGTGAACACAATACAACAATAGATATTTCAATAAATATTCATGATGATTACTATGATGATTATGATTATGATATATCAATTGGATATAAACAAGAAATGAACAAAACATTTCTTTATTGTGTCTGTTTGATAACTATTTTGTTTATTTATTAGAAGAAGAATGTTTGTTTTTGTCCTTGTCATTTGGAACTTTAATTTATAAAATAAGAAAAATTTGTTTTGTGATTTCATCTTCATTATCGATAAATCTCTTCATTAACCCTTTGAGTACCAGCGTACTTTATAAAGTGCGGTTTTTTCGAGTTTTATATTTTTTCAATAACTCACGAATGTAACACGATATAGGGTGTCCCATAAGTTGTGGCAGATTTTTTAAAATCTAATTTTTGATGATAATGAATACAAATCAAACTCAAACTTACACGTATCATACAACTTAACATGTACTTTTATTTCATATATTTTATTTGGATTGAATCATTGGATATACAAAAAAATAAAGAAATTGGTACATGTGCAGAATAAGCACACCATCAATGGAGTGACGTAGCCAGAAATTTTTTGAGGGGGGGATCGCCATGTAGAAAAACGGTTTTCCAGCTGGAAAAATTCGATCGACCCATACCCTCCCCCTTCAGGTGTTTTTATTATTCAGGTGGGGGACTGATCCCCCCACCCCCCCCCCCCCCGCCACCCCCGCCGCCNTAGTAGCTAATTGTTGGATTGGCTCTAATATAGCTACAAATGGTCCAATCATTTCCTTAAATACTTGGACACATATTGCCTATACTTATAGCACAACCAACGGCATTCGATTATATATAAATGGTAACCTGAACTCGACGACAGGTTCTTTTACATTTTCGGGCTCTGGTGTTCCCATGCGCTTCGTATTGGGTGGAGATAGTGGTCGAACTGTCTGCTCTCCAGCCTACGGAGGTGTGTTTACTGGTGCACTGGATGAATTTTATCTTTATAGACGTGAATTAACAGCAGCTCAAGTTTTGGCATTAGCCAATCCTTAAGCTGATAATACGAAACTTACTTTCAATGTCTACTACTATGATATTCATATTCCTGAACCAATAATTTTTTTTTTTCATTTAAGGTTTCCCATATAGGTTGTGACTTTGAATTCTTCCTGCAAATAATATTTCAAATATCTTGCACATACACCTTTGGAATAGTGACATTACCAAGATTGTGGGGTGTGGGTGTGAGGAAAAATGTTTTTAGAACAGCTACATCGATACCTAGTTCCAATCTCAACTTTTCAGTAGAAGCTAACTCATCCTAGTTAGTTGTCTTATTGATGTTCATGCTCAATAGCTCTGAAACGGAGTAACCTCTTTATTTATCAATAACTATGAAGATGAGAGATTAATAAATTCTAGCTTGCAAAAGTCTGCCACTGTCAAACATGTCAGATTTACAGAGATTGTAATCTTTGAACAGTTTTTTTTCAGCACAAAGTTATATATTAGATGATAAACATTCACGCATTTATACATCATGCTGGGAGTTCGTTTCTGAAAAAAATGACACAGTTCAATAGCCGCAGTGCCTCTGAAAAGAATTGTCATAGAAGTGTTTTCATAAAAGCGAAAATCACAATGAATCAAGAAAAATGTTTGCGATGGTTGCATCTTAATCGTCGTTCTCATCGTCATATTCAACATCTGAATAATTTGGTTAGACGAACTGTCTAACTCCTAATAGTCGTTGCCGAGCAGAATTAGTACGACAGCATAGAAAAATCATATGAGTTCTTCTATTTTAATGTCGATTTCTATTTGAGGAGTAACACGAGGTGAAAACAGTTCCTAAGGCGAGCAACGGAGCGATTTGCTCAACATTTTTCGAAAACTATAAGATTAATGTGAGTATTCGATTCTGACTTGATTCTATTCTATGTGGTAGAAACTAATTTTCTATCTGCCTTAGGCTATCAAGCACACCGCCTGCAAGGAGGGAAGTGGAAAGATCCCGTTGGTTATCTGATCTTCGAGAATATACGTCTCTGGTGAACTCGAAAGTTCAATGACTAAGATGAAGAAAAGATCTTTTTAGAATAACGTAAAAGAACAGAAATGTTCACAGGGAGTTAGCAAGTAAGGATTCAAGATGGAATATGAAGAAGTACTCTTATGGCTGGTATTAGAAAAGGATAAGATGTATCTCATTGAGTTGCTCAGAACAAATCAATGCAGATTATTTTTCTACTCTCCTTTTCTTTTGTCTCTATCTGGGTTTCTCTAATGAGGTTGTCGAGGCGAGCTAAGCTCATACAAGATGGTACGCAGCAAAATGGAGTTGATCTCCTCTTTAGATGTGCGACAACCTGGAGCCTCTTCTTTTCTTCAGACAATTTTAACGCATGGGTTAATTGTCTATCATATTTCTCAGAATTCAAACGCACTTGGGGCACATTATTCTCCTAGATAGCAAAGCGCTTGAGGGTGTGATTGGGTGGCTGCCTGAGTATGGGTTCTCTTTTCGGTGTCACCTATCCTTATATTTAAGCAACTCAACCGCTCTATGCTCTCATATAGCCATGAAAACATTCGCAGTCTTTTTTCATATATTTCTCATACCAAGAACCTATTTTTTTTCTTAAATATGCTGTGCTATCTTTGAGAGTCAGCTACAAAAAAATCAAATATAAGCGATATTTTTATGATCAAAGCATTGATATCTAGGATTCTCGACAATTTTCCAGTAAAAAATATTCCTAAGAAAATTACGTTAATTTTTATTACTGGTTTAAAAGTCTGATTTTTTGCACGGACGTCGCACTTTTTCCAGAAATATTCGATTGAAACTGTTTAAAATTTGTGAATTGATTGAGAACATAATGTGCTCCTCCGATTACTATTGTTTACCTCAATAGTACTCTAATTTTAATTGACAATCGGTTTTAATCTCTTTAATCGATTAAACTATTGTAATTAATTTAAATCGACGCTTTGATTTTTAATGATCTTTCATCGTTATATGATGTGATTACACTATTTCAATTCCAAACAATTTATGTAGTAGTTGCGAATTTAGTTCATTTGCTGGAATTCATCTTGGTGGCAAATTTATAGTTTTTAGACACGATCAATCCAAACAATCATGGAAAATTGGAGTATTGTACTCAGATCTCGAGGAAAATGCCGATCGTTGGTGTGTGATTAAAATCAATTAACAATAAGATATATAAATTGATTAACAGATGAAGATAACTATTATGCAAAAACAGACAGGAGAAAACTAGTCTTAATCAATTTTTTCTGTCTTTTTTTACATGAGAAATGTCTCTATTTGTTTTTTCATTTCATCTTAACGTTTACAAGCCAGTACAACAGTATCCAAAAATCAATTGATATTGGGCTGATATTAAATATATGAAGATTTTTACTATGACTATTGTGAAACGAAATCCAAATAATAGTGCATAAGAATTGGATTTCTTTATTGATTAAACTTCTTCTAATGGATTATAATCGATTAATATTTTGGTCTTGTTGCACAATAATCAGATTATCGATTTTGATGATGTCCAAAGGATTTTGAAATTTTAATCGATTTTAATCCTTAAAATTTGTCACTGGGTTTCTGGTACAAAATGAAGTTTTCTGTCCTTTGGTGCTCTTTGTTTTATTTTAGTGTTGTAGGTTTTCTGAATTAAAACCAAACGTTTTCGTCTTGAGGGTGTGGGTGTGGGTGTGGGTGTGGGTGTGGGTGTGGAGTGTGGGTGTGGGGTGTGGGTGTGGGTGTGAAGTGTGGGTGTGGAGTGTGGGTGTGGGGTGTGGGTGTATCAGAAGTAAACCCACACCCACACCCACACCCACACCCACACCCACACACCAACAGCCACACCCACACCCACACCCACACACCCACACCCACACCCACACACCCACAGCCACACCTACACACCCACACCCACACCCACACACCCACAGCCACACCCACACCCACACCCGAATGTGTGCATTGTTTTAATTGCATTGGTTGTTACTATCGCTTCTTAATCAAAGATACCCAACGCTTAAGACCCATTTGATTAATCTTCTTTCTTTTTTTTTTTTGTTAATACACTATAAATGAGAAGAAACCTGATAGGAAGCACGATACAGCGTTCTTTAGCTCATTTTTTAATGGCTTTCTGAAAGGCTCCGAATTTAATCCTCTATTGTCGCAATAAAAAAGTATTTATTGTATTGCAGACTGACTACAAAACATTCACTTGTTTTTCACAAGTAACAATACTTACAAGATGTTCAGCATCAGCCTTCTGACTAGTATGTTGTGTCTCGTCATCTTTCATGCACGAGCCACTAGTGCACAATGCTGGTCCAACAATGCTTGCATCGATACTGGCGCGTGCGCTGCTAAAGGTGGATCATCTAAAGCGGGTCTCTGTTCTGGTGGCAGCAATATCCAGTGTTGCACTTGGTAAGATACTCTTTGTTGATGATACTCAGAAATTAGTCCGTTCCGTTTAGTAATAATTGCATGGACGCTACGGCTTGTGCATCAAGTGGTGGAACCTCGTACTCAGGTATTTGCCCTGGTACTGGCAATATTCAATGTTGTGTGAAAGGTTCTAATCCATCTGGTACTGGCTCCAGTAAACCAGTGAACACAATGCTTACGGACTTGGCTGATATCCTTCGCAAAGCCGGTCTCAATGTAGTCGAAGAAACCGGCTGGAAGACTCGTGGTCATGGTGTAATGGCTTCGGTAAAAGGCATTCTAGTTCATCACACGGCTGGTCCAGCAACAGGTGAATTTCCTTCGCGGGCTGTTGTTCGAGATGGTCGTTCAGATCTTCCCGGACCCCTTTCACAACTCGGCTTAGGTCGTTCAGGAACTTGGTACGTGATTGCAGCTGGTCGTTCTTATCATGCTGGAGCTACGATTGATGATTCAGTTTTCGGAAACTCTAACGCAATTGGTATTGAAGCTGAGGCCTCCGGTACTCCAGTCGACAATGCAGGACATCGACACTGGTCCGAAGTGCAATGGCAGAGCTATGTACGTGGTGTGAAAGCTCTTCAAGCAGCTTACGGTATACCTACATCACGGGTATTAGGACACAAGGAAGCAGCAGTGCCTGCAGGTCGCAAGCCTGATCCAAACTTCTCTATGACAGAGTTTCGCGCTGCACTTGGCTAACTAGCATGACTTTACACCATTATTCTCTTCAGAATAAAACTTATATCCTAAGATTCTAAATAAGATTGGCTTTTAATTATACACTACTTCAAAGTTTGTCTTTAGTTAAGAAATATGAAAGAAATCATTGAAAATGATGAAACTTCGTCTGAGAGAAATCGCACATCGTTCACCATAAAGTATTTTAATACTCCCCAGAATTCAATTGCTTCTTAGAAAAAGTGCTCCATAAAATACGGTTGTGACTTTTAGATGATTCATTTGACAACAATTCATTGTAATTTTTTGATGAATTACGATATTCGCGATAGAAATATTCTAATGGTAACATTTACCGACCTCAGTGCTTTTTCCAGTTGCTTGAGCTATCAAATGCTTAAAATGAACATGAAACAGGGAGAAGATCCAGAGATCGGAAGCCGATTTAATATATAGCTTCTAACAGCGCTTCTCTTCGACCTAGATTCGAGTTTATATATTAGAAAATTACATTATATAATTGAAACTGTGATATGCAAGAGTATCAATTTCATAGAGGCCTTTCGGATAAAAATCACTTTTCAAGAATCACAGACTATAATGCTCGTATTAAAAGCTACAGATGATATTTGATGTTTGCAGCATTACGGTTTGAGAAACAGTGAAGGTGTGAGCGTGGAATGTGCCTTCCCTCCATCAATATCCAGACCCACATCCTAATCCGGTTTGTTCACTAAGTTTTTCACAAAAAAGTTATCTTGACAATAAAGGAAAAAATATTTATGAAAGTTTTCTAGCCAAACCAACGGTATGCTTTCACATTAAGAGTTTTCCATCTAACACTACTGAAACATGTTATGTTATTAGTAAAAATTATTGTTAATATTACGAACGATTCACATTTAATGTTGGATATTCTGGAACGAGGCAAACGAGTTTTCTTTTATCGAAAATAAATTGTTCATAGGCATGAGACCTACTTTCAGTCTCCGCTAATCTAGTGTTGACATATAGAAATCGACTTGTCCATGACCTCTTTCAATAAAACTACATTGATAATAACTTCACTCGATGACAGATCAATTCTATCATTTCTTCTGAAGAACGCATTTGTTAATACTGATAGAAGATTTGTTTAATCATGTTATATAAATAAGAATTTCGTCACAATATAAGTGGAATCAAGTCCTATTACTAACAGAATCGGTTAGTAGCTGATCTCGCTGTTAAATGACAATTGAGTGTTGACATTTACCTTTTGAATTTATCGAAATGTTTTGAAAAGACGAAAGCTGCAACAAGCAGAAGTTGAAAAAAAAACAAAAAATTGATGTAAATTATGGAAGATTTTCAAAGCAACTGTTACTTGCACCCGTATCATGTTTCATGTTTAATTAGAAAAGTTTACAAAACATTTGCATTTGTACTCATACTCAATGTTCACTATCTTTGAATCGATTGTTACTCATTTTCTTGACTTCTTGGACATATTTCTCTTAATACTGATAAAATTATATTTGCAATTTTAGTTTTCAACATTGCGACTAACTGTCGCAGGTCCAAAAATTGATCTAAATTTTAAATTAAAGCAAAAGCAAAAGAAAAATAAAAAGAAGAAAATTTCATAGTTTTATTTTTGCGATAATCATGCCAAATGAACATTCGTTTCAGATTCTGCTGATTATGTTTTGTAGTTTTAATATTCAATGAAATTTCGTGAAGACTTTATTGTTATTTATTGCAAACAGAGAAGAATATGAGACTAAAAGAATGAAAATATTATACCATTCTTCTTTATTCATTAGTTGAATAAGACTAGAAATACATTTAGGAATATAAGTGAAAAACGACAGAGGCATATCTTTTTAGGACTCGCAAAATAATTATAATAGTATAAAGTGTTGAGATAAATAAATATGAACCATAAAATTTTAATTACATCTTCTACATTTTGGCTTTATAAAACGAAGTCTTTTTTTTTTTTATAGAAGCTAAATAAACATCAACAATAAATGACAACCATTACTTAACCATAGCTGTCATAATTATATAATTATAATACTACTTTAACATTTTATCATAAAAAATATCAGATCAATACCTAACTGACTACTTAAATGCAATATCTGATACAAAAAGCATCCAAGAATATTGTATTTGCAGTTCTAAAATGCTTTAAAATATCGTCAATATTTGTGTAATATTTATTAAATAGAACGAATTCGTTAGATAAATACTTGTGAGATTTTGTTTCATCTTCTGTTATTAATAAAATAGTTCATACCAGAAAAAGAAAAAAAGCATAAATAAAATTTGTTTTAATAGACAAATATTTGAATGATTGACAGCAAAAAAAAAAGAATTCGCATTCGTTCATTAGCAAACAACTTAGATCGGACTTTCATTAGAAAAATAAACTTATATCAACTTCAAATTGAATCAACATACTTGTGTTATATTAATTGGTCAATTAGAACTGAGAATTTGACTTTAAAATATGCATAATTCTAGTACATGGTACGAAAAGAAACATTGCATCTATCTTGTATAGCGAAGCCAAAATCAGTATCGATTTTTTGTCAAAAACTTCATGACAAGCATTCAGTGAAATACTTTTATAGTTGAATTTTATATTTATCGTTGATATTTTTTCTTTTTTTAGTGCATCACTCATTTTTTTTTGAATAATGTGGATTAAAATTCTTATCTGTGGAATGCTTCGATTTCCTGGTTTACGTAAGTCGGATGAAGATATCATCACATCCCTCAGCAACAAACATTCTTTTAGCGTCGATTCGTTCTGTTTCTAGTTATTGTAATATAGATAACCGACAACGAAAGCTTTATTAAACATTTTTGTTAAATATGTACTAATCACAAAATTAGGCTTAGATCTGCAAAAGATATTTCAATTAACATTAAGGAATAATTGCAATACTATTTGAATTTGTACTCAATCAGAAAATGCTCGAAAATGTTTAGAATTATTCTTAATTGGTTGAAGTTACGAATGAGGAAAATCTTATAGAAATATTCATTTTTTTTTTTTTTTTGTTGAGCAAGTTCAATGATCACGAAAGATTGACAATTAATACAGTTGTAACATAATATTATTTAGAAAAAAAAAATCAATTTTCGCATAATTTTCCTGTTTTACTTCCTAGTTGATTAAGACGTATTAGTGTTTATCAAATAAATTTTTTTTTCTCGTTTAAATTAACTTTTGTCTCGAAAATATTTTCTTTTTAGGTTGTTCGTATATTAGAAGTATTAAAATTCTCATACCAAAGATCACAATGAATTTATCGTATTTATAATCGTCTTTTAGCTTCAGCTGAAGATCAGTATTTTAAATTCAATAATATAAATGATAGATTTGCATTAACACATAAATTATCATTTGATGATCATGTAATCAAACTATTTAAATGACAGAAATTTAGAAATCAACATAGAATGATCAGTTTAAATAAATAGATTAATTAATAATCTTAAAAAGACGTTATAGAACTATCGTACGTGCTATGTTTTATCATTTACTTAAATCAAATAAATCATTTTTATTTTCATTAGATAAACAAAACGATTGTCCTTTGATATATGCTATTTTAAAGTTAAATGAGCTATCATTTTTTAGAACAATCAATTCAAGATACATATGAACAAGTCAATAATATAAGTAATTTATTTATATGAGACATATGTCACTATCGAAAATGATCCTTATGCGTAACATAATCGTATGGCGTCATAGATGCGTCAATTATATTACGCATAGAACAATCGAACTCAGCTTTTTGATTGCGAAACGTAATGTGTGGTTGTGGATGCGGGTGAAGAGAAGCTTTACATGCATTCAAACATCTATATTCAACTTGAAGAACTGTATCGAAAATCGATAGAAATAAAAATAATCCGATACAAATTATTTTCAATTTATAATTACAAAATGTATATGCTTGGTGAACTCAAGGAATGAGCAACACATCCAATTCGAAACAATAAATATTTTGAAGAACTTCATTCAATGATGTTCAAGACCAAAGTGACCAACAAACCGTTGCCTGATAAATTATTGACGAAGAACTATGAACATAAAATAGACAGCTTGAAACAAATTAAATAGTGGAACAGTTAAAACGGATTGAAGAATTGTCTACCATTTAACTTTTTGAACATATGATTATTTCATTAGTTTTTAGGTTTGAATTTTTTTTTTGTCTAAAATACAGGACACTGATAAGTAATATGGTAATACATCTAGCAAAATAGATGGACAATAAAACTCTGCATTTTAATTAATTTTCAGAAACATTCTATTTAGCTTCCATTTTCAAGTGATATTGTAGACGGATAGTCAATTGTTGAAAATTATGATCTGAGAACAATATTATTAACTTGTTTTCCAAGGCAAATACAAATTGTGTCCTATAAATTTCAGTCATGCAATCACGATTCTTGATAGATCGTTGCTGATCAATATCGATATTACTTAATGAGTCGTATTTGCAGCACTGATATGATCATTCATTGACAACCTGTTTAACTTCAATTCTTGTTTTTAATGAGTATTGATGTGACTTCGCTGATATATACAAAGAAAGAAGGGATACAATCAAGTGATCGACTAGGAACAGACTTACTTGAATTAATCATAGGCTGAAATTCTAAACATCTATGGCAAATTCGTTGAATAAAAATCCTAAAATCTATCAGCATGCTAGATATTAGTATAGAATCTTAAGATCAGAATTTTTCGATGTAAGTATTAGTAGATATACATTTATCAGAGTGATTGTAATCATTCAATCTCTCTTGTCATTGTTTCAACTAGACAACTAGTGATGACACTTTTCTCTGTATGATCACTTGAAATCTGAAAGTTCTACACTGCATTGTTCAGTTGCATATGTTTTTCTTTTTTGTTTCGTGTCGCATCATGCAAGTTTGGATTACTTAAGGCTCAAATGCATTTTAAACGAATGTGAATAAGTTTTCAAACTTCAAGAACATCCAGTCAATGCAACCATGTCTTGTATCTAACTGAATAAGGGAGAAAAATTCTTCATTTCGTTTGCCATTGGCTATATTGGTGGATATGACCAATTTTAATGGTAGAAACAAACATGGTCCTTCTATATATTGAACTTCTCTCGTGTGCATTTGTCTATCATCGATGTTCTCTGACTGTTTGTTAGAAGACGCATCTTCCTTTCTCCTTTTTTGCTACCTTAGATACGGGTGACTATCGCTAATGAGCGACATCTGTCTCCTCTCTGTTGATTTTCACTGTTTCTACATTACGTATTGATCATGTACATCTTTCTTCTTCCCTTGATGGCGCTTGTTATATATGTATATGCCATTGCTGAGTTCTTTGTTAGTAAATTCAGTGTCTATCTTTCTCTTCTGTTACTTTTTGACCCCGTGTCTTTTCTTTGTTCGTTTCGTATGCGTCTATATCCTCTTAGCTTCGTGATTCGAAAATCAGTGATCTTAAAATACTTATCTCCTATGCTGAATCGGATAAAAAACAGAACGCGAAATAATGTCCACTATCCATTTCACCATGACGAGCACATTCCCTAGGTCAATATATAGCTCTTTGCTTCTTTGTGTTTCGTTCGTCGAATATCTTTCACATTAGACAAGTGAACTAACAACATTGTTGAGTTTTTCATGTGTTACAAATATAACACAACAGAAAATGCAAATTACTGTTGAATTGTGAATGAATTAATTCACTTGGTCGGTTTTGAATTTTGTATTATTTCGATTTTTATCATTAAATGCTTGTTCTAATACAGCCACTGTGATGCATTTAGAATCGTAGGTCACTGAAATCTTGCTTGATCTCTTCAAATATTTGTCGGCTATTGACCTTCTTCATGGTTTTTTGTCATCTCAACAGTCATTTGAACACACTTCTCTTTGTTCATTTTCGTTCTTCCTATCTTGGTTTTAGATCGATATCAAAAGGCGATTTCGATAACATCAGTCGACAATATCTACCTTTACTCATCGATCACATTCGTTCGTCGCGTTTATCGAACACTGATGAAACACCAACACAAATTCAATCGTTCCTCTCTTCAGGTTTATCTCTTCACTGTTTTACCCATTTACGAGCACTTTCCTTAGATCATTTACGTTCTTCACGAACAATTATAACACTGATCGATCAATATCATCAACTGATTCATCTTGATTTGATCGAGTGCTTATTTTCGAACGATGATCGATCGATTCATGATCTTTTTAACACTATGTGACATTTACAGAGTCTTGCTCAGTGTCACCTTGGTGTTTGTTTCCTACGAGAAATAGAAGCCTTTCTTCCAACAATAATCTCCACTTCTCTACAATACTTGTCCATCGAATCGTTTTATTACGATGTAGAAGATTTTTCTCGTCTATTTCAACATACACCACATCTTCGGCATCTTCGTCTAGTGCTTATCGACGATACCAACGATCGAACTTTGCCATGCGCAATTTCGTCGATCATTCTATTGCAATTCTCTGTCTATGGATCATCAACAAAGATGAATAATCTATTATGCAATTTACCTAATCTGCATTACTTGATCGCAGAAGCAAATGATATTAACTTAAACCTACATTAATGGCAACAAATTATTACTGATCATTTGCCCAAATTAAAGCGATTTCGATTCCATATGATATTTCGTGTCACAGACGATCATAGCAAGGAACAACAAGTCGATCGTTTGCTCGAATCGTTTCGGACGCATTTTTGGATCGATGAACGTCAATAGTTCGTTCGAGGCGATTGGGATCTATGTGAAGGCTGCGACAAGAACACTCTTTATCTCTACACATTGACACTTATTTGAGAGGACTATTTTTCCCATGAAGTCAATTTCAAAGCCCAATCGACTTGTCCTTATCCAGACAACTATGCAAGCTTTGAACGTGTTTGTAGGCTTGAATATGCAATTACTCCACCGTCGAACAATCCGTTCTCATGTCAATTTCGTTTTGCAAGCCTTCGTCACCTTGATGTATATCTTCCGGTGGATGCAATCTTTATGTAGATCATCTCGCGGTTCGATCAATTAATCTCACTCGAAGTTGCAACTTTTGACAGTAATCATGATTTGGATCATTATGCAGAACTGCAAACATTGCTCGATCGAGCACCTCTTCTCTATTCGTTGAAATTCCGTTCTTGGACACAGACTTCGATATGTATGCCACGTATTCAATATTTGAATCCATCAGTTCGTCGACTCGATACACAAAGCATCGATCAATGTTACAGTCATGAACAATGTGTCTCATTGATTCGTGGATCATGGGCCCTTCAATGTCAAGTACTTTGTAATGCCGTCGAACATCGAATGAGTATTCTCCATTTGATCGATACAATGACACAACTTCGACTACTGAATGTCTTGTGTCAAGATGATCCTTGGAACACTGGCAATCATAATCAATCGTCATCATCAGAAAACGAACTGCTTAGCTGGTTGCAACATCGGCTACCAACTACATTCGCAATGGTTCGAAACAAGGAGAAGAGTTATAATTATAAATTGAAAAGTTGTTACTCGATTCTCATCTGAATTAGTTAATTAAATAAATAAAGATACAAAATGATCTGACAACCACCTGAGATTTCTAATCTGCAATCATAGTTATTCACTAAAAAAGACAGGCCTCCGAGTGTAAGTCATCATTGGGTAATATTTTGCGATTAAACAGAAGTCAGTGAGCCTAATCAAATCGTAAAAGAGATTGCCCCTATGGACTAGAGTTTTCGGGGGTAATGCGAAGTTTTGGCATGAGTCTTCAGACATAAATAAATCTAGGATATTCTAAAATGTTCAGCCAAACTGAATGTTGAAGATACCCAATTTTCTGATCTTTGAACGTAATGCTTAGTTTTTTTTCGAATTTCTAGAATAGAAAGAATAACGAATAGCAGGTTGAATCTTCTGGCTACACTGTATTATGTTTGAATGAACAGACACATCCTTGTTTTACTATTATTATCGAATACTGGAAATCATAGTCAAACGTAATCATCCGAAACATAGCTAGCAGAGGACTCTGACGTTGCTCAAGAGTATTCGTGGACACTTGTCCATCTCATGTGTTATACCATTTGACCAAGAGCTCATCAACACAACCGAAAATAAAATCCAAATTAAGGTCGATTCCAGTACTGACTTTTTTTGTAGCGAATAATAAATATTTCAGACAAAGTTTTTTATGTGCAAAGTTATTTCTTGTCCAACTAGTATTGTTCTTATATATGGACTGTATCTCTTTTGTGAAGTGTTCATTTGCTTTTTACTGAGCTATAAACTTTTATGATAAAAAAAACGACTAGAGATAAGTCTCATGCCTGTGTTCCTATGCCGAAGACACACATATACCTAGTATGCCAAAGAAAGGATAAAAACGAGAGACTCCAGAAATGCAGAGGTCTTCATCGATATATTAGAACACAGTTGATTCTTTAGTTGACCATATTGAAAGATTCGTGCAAAACAAGAGAAATAGAGTATGGATTGAGTCATTCTTCTCCTCTTACATCTAGTATTCGGACGCACTATAATTCTATTTTATTTCTCTGTCACGTACAGTATATATACGGACACGTGTATGTACACGTGAGCTTTAATCATAAAATTATAATTATAATTTTATATTATTTAACAAAACCAACAAATCCTTAATATGATTGTGAATAAAAAGAAATGGACAGATCCGAAGGAAAAAATTGTTGGATTGGATGGTCTTACAAACTTGGTTCAACAACTAGATAAACATGCGGATAATGGAAACAACAACGTTCATATGGATAATAATATATCAAAGAACTATCAAAATATTGGTGATCAAGGAAATATGGAAATAGATGAACGGAATATGAATATAAACGATAAAAATACTGAACAACATCACAAACGAAGCCGAAATCTGACCGAAGTAGATGAAGGTGTACTTCAAAGTCCAAAAAATCGTCGTACTCTAGGTGACTTTGGCACAAAAGAGCAAAACAATCGAGGATCATTTATAATTCGAAACCAAAATTATCATCATCGAAACGTTACAACAGAAACAAGAACTTCAAATCATTATCAAAAACAATGTTCAATAGTTTCAAATAATTTAAATGAAAATATAGACTTCAATCGGTACAATATAAATGAACAATCAATCTCTTATGCTTTCGATATGCACTTGCCACTGATTACAATGGAATGTAAACCGAAATTAAAATCCAAAGATATTGCTACTAAATTAATTATGTTATTTTTCAAAGAGATTGAGTTAGATTTTCGTAAACAACATCCGAATCACAAAAAACCTATCGGTTTTGAACGTTGGTGGCAAGATGCTGATGGTGTTCGTATATTTGGTGAGACAAAGGATGTTGACTTATTCATTTATTTGTGTGAAGCAAAAAGATACCCAAACAAAATTGAAAACACTTATATTGTACCAGATCCTCCTAAGCGGCTTCCACCACAAAATACTGTGGTTATTAAATTTGTAAGAAATGATATTGAACTCGAAGAAATTCGGAATGAAATTAAGGACCGATACAAGTCTACATATACGGTTGAAAATATGCTGGGTACATTAAGATCGAACAATAGACATGTCCGAGTAGATTTTAGTGATAAAAAGGATTATGATTCAATACTCAACAGTGGTGTTATTGGTGTGCAGGGTCAGCTTTTTGATGTCGATGAGTATTTGCCTGCCCCTAAAATACTCATTTGTACCAAGTGCAATGAACCGGGGCATACTAAAAAACAATGTCGACTATCTTTTGAAAAATGTCGCCGGTGCGGTGAAAATAGGCTTGATAATAATGATCATAAGTTATGCTCTATTAAATGTCAACATTGTGGAAGTGGTGAACATTTTTCAAATGATCATCGATGTCCCTCGATTCTCGATTTTAGACGTCAAATTGTATCTGAACTTCGAAAAAGACCAAACTGTTTACCACCTCAAGTTCAATTATTTATTCCTGTAGACTGTAGACCTATAGGTAATTCGACTAAAATTCTCAATAATGCAAGTGCAAGCTCAACATCTCAGAAAATAAACTGCTTGACTAATAATAATTTTACGCACAAGAGTGAATGGCCAAGTCTTCCAGCTGCTGCAAATAGTCAACAGATATTAAGTATGTCTGCTATTGGTAAACAGTTGATTGCAGAACAAACAATTAAATCGTTCTCAAACGATCTTAATGAGCTAAAACAAGATTACCTTGAAGAGCAACGAAAAATTGATCAACGTTTTCAAGAACAACTAAAAAATATTCAGAACGGGTGGTTAGCTATTCAGAATCAAATTTCTACACAAAATGAAATGATTAATACCACATGTACTCTCATCGATGATATACTATTTGATTCATGCATACACTTGACTAACATGATGGTTGCTATTGTAAACGAACTGAACAACAAAGTAACAACAGAAGAAGAAAAGAAAAGATATAGTTCAATTGATGAACACATCAAAATCATGTCAAGAAAAATACTTGACAAGAAACAATCATATTATAACTATCAAGAACAATTAAATACACTAATGTCTCAACAAAGAACTGCTGCCATTTTGACTATGAATTCTATATTCTTAACAAACAATGTACAACAATGATTTTAAATATGCACCAACAATTATTAACCCGATATATGCTGATCACTTTGATGGTACTAGTCAAGAGAAAAAAGAACTTTTATCAATTATAGATGAGTGGAATAGAAAGACATCTATTTCGAAATTATGCACATACTGGGAAAAAGAAAGACCATTATCACCTCCTTCACAAAATCTCCTTTTTCTTTTATATAATTGCCAATGTCTTAGTACCCATCAAATTGATATAGATATACTTCTTTCCTCTCATCATCCACAGATAGTTATTCTTACTGGTGTTGGCTCTCAGATTCGTAAATTACCTTTAATTCCAAATTATTACTGGATTAGTCAGAAGGGAACTAACTCGTTTGGGGGTGTTGCTATGCTTATTCATCAAACAATAGGAAGTAAAATAGTAGATGCTACTGTTAATTTTCTTTTGATTGAACTAGACGTATTATCATCTTCTATCCTTGTTGGTGGAGTGTATGTGCCACCAAATGAACAACCTCCATTCGAACTTTTTTCAAAATGTATTGGAAAAGAATATTATATTTTTGGAGACTTTAATGTAAAGCATCCTTTCTGGCTGTGCGAAACTAGTGATGTGAGTGGAACTTCTTTGAAAGAATGGATGGAAGCAAATGGTTGTGAAGGTATCTTTCCAACAGTTCCTACATCAAAGCGTTCTTCTGCTATTATTGACTTGGCACTTACACATGATAGTTCAAGTTGGACACTAGAGATACTTGATGAGGGTACCTCCGATTACTACCCAATACTTTTTTCTTCTCCTTTACTGCTGCAAGAGATAGCTTTTTTCGTAAAACAAATTGGAAAATGTTTTCATTTTTCTTTCTTTAGTCAACGAATACTGGAATGCATGCGTTTATAATTATGACGAGCAGTTTTTTTTTCACTCTCTTTTCCACCTTCCTCTCATCGTTATGGGATAGAACAAGTGAATATTTACCAGTTGAAAAATATCGGCCGCCGTGGCCAGCATATTTAGTTACACTCGCTCGTACTGTAAATAAAAATCGAAGAAAATATCGACGTAGACGCTTCTTAAGTCATTTGAATGCATATTTGCACTCGAAAAGAGCATATCAAGAAGAAAAGGTGTGCTGTTTACAGACGAAAAGAGAAAAATATTTGAAGACAATGATGTAAGGACAAAATATATGGCGTATCGTTCGACCTAAGTTTCATCCATTTACTAACTCTTTTCGACGTATTAAAACAACAAATGGAATAGAAAAAGACCCTGAAATAATAGTTAATCAACTTGGAAATTTTTTCGAACATAATTTTTGACTGCCTGTTTATGATTCAAACAACAAAAAGCATATGAACTCTATCACTGCTTATGAACAAATAAGTTATTTACCGAACATGCCATTACCTTTAATAACTTTGAATCAGGTCGAAAAACAATGGAAAAAATTTTCACAAAAAAAGTCTCTAGATAGTATGAAAACTTCAGCTTTTTTGTTAAAAAATTTACCATTAGAATACATGAAAACTATTACAGTGTTGTTCAACAAATGTGCTTAGAAGGGAGATGCATTTGAGGCTAGTAAACACGCAAAAGTAATTTGTCTATCTAAAGATGGCATATATCCGGAAGAAAATAAGCTTCGTCCTATTTCACTTCTTCCTAATCTGGGGAAGTGGTTCGAACGTTGTATTCATGAGCAAATACAAATATGGTGTAGAGAGAAGGGGATATTCACAGATGAACAATCTTGGTTCACACCGAACAGACGTTTACAAACCCGTATTTTGTCAATTTGTGAAGATTTGCGCCTAACAATAGCAGCAAGTAATCGACCTACATTAATTATTTTCGTAGATTTTCTATCAGCGTTTGACAGAATGTGGTATCCGGCCTTGATAACCAATTTAATTCAGTTAGAAATGCCCTTGCCACTAATAAAATGGATATATAAGTGGCTTCAAGGAAGAACAATGGCTATACATTATGGAGAATCCATATCTAAGACAGTAAAAATACTTACAGGTGCACCACAAGGCTCAGTTTTAGTCGCCACTCTTTTGAGACTTCATATTCACTTTTTACCACAGTATTTTCTTCGATTTTGTTCTCATCTTTTTGCTGACGATTTAGCCATCGTATTGAAAGGTGCATTAGAGAAAAGGCTATCTCATAATATTATTGAGTTAGAGGAGCAGGCTAAATTAGCAATGAAGCCTCTGTCTAAATTCTCAGAAAATTATATACTACCCGTTAATGTTAAAAAAACAAAGGCGGTGTTAGTACACAGTGCAGTAGCTCCTAGTATTCCAAAACTTTTCTATCAAAACAAATCAGTTGAGTTTGTCTCCTATTTCAAATATTTAGGAGTTGAAATTCGAACAAAGTAGGGATGAGGTAATTACATAAAATCTCGTGTATTGAAGATTCGAAACGCTCACAATGCACTGAGGCAACTCTTAAGAAAGATTCCAATAAATCTTGTAGGAATTCATAGACGCTTATTTTGTGCTTTCGTTTTACCACATTTTATTTGGCTGTTTACAACGTGGTTTTACTTTACAGAAAATCAACAGAAAGAGTTAGAACATTTATATATGTCAGGCCTATGTATAATGTATGCATTATGGGGATGGGATGATTATACCGTACTCGCACTATCTCGTGAAAAATCACTTTTGGATTACATATATAGTTATTGGATAAAACTTAAAAAACATTTAGATACTGCTCCTGAAACGTTAGAATATCAACAAACTTGGGAGGCCTATCTCATACCAACATCCCCAAACCGAGTTTATTATAAGTCAATGGGCTTTAGAAGGAACAGTATTTTTGCTAATCGTTTGGCAACAAGGGCAAAACATTTAAACTTAGACCTCTTCATTTTCTTCTGTATACAGGAGAATCAACATGAAATTTTCAGAAGATCATCCTCTGTGTTAGAAAGATTTGTATACAAATATCTATATCCTCCATAAAGTTTCTAACGGTATGTGGCATATTCAATAAAATACAATATTTCGATATTTTTCAACCAATAACACTCATCTGTAAATGAATCTTTTTTTTCTCTTTCTCTACTCTCTCACTTCCCTTTGAATATCGTATGATGGTTATTTTCCTATTTTTTTTTTAAATTCATGTAACGCGTCCAGAGGAGAAGATGGAAGCTGAAAATAGTTGTAATAAAAACAAGCTTTCTTATGGTCATTTTTTTTCTATGTATCTTTATCTGTTAACCCTGTGTGAAACAATAAACTTATATGCAAAAAAAAAAATATCCGTTACCTATTAATCATTACTTGGTGATAGCAATGGTTACTAGATTGAATCGATATGTGTGTATATTTGACACATGCCAAAATGTGTTTCAACAAAGATATACGGTTTAAAATAAAACTAATAGATGATTTGTTTTCTTTTTAAGATAATAAACAAAATGATCACAAGTTCAAAATACTCATGATTGTATTGTAGGAAATATCAAAGTTTGCTAGTATTCTTCTTTGATTTTTTACAATAGTATTTGATAACAATATGCTACATCATTAGACATTTTTCATGACTCAATAATCGCTTAAGAAATTTTTATTCAACTATTCATCATTGTTGTGTTTTAACTAATGTTTTCATCATAAAATATTCCTTTCTATCATTACAAATTTCATCGCATTTTTGTATTCAACGAAATGATAATGAAGGCGAAGGATCTGACCTAGATTTATGTAGCTCCAATTCCAGTTTTCAAAACTAAATTCAAGAGATACTACGTAAGTTGTTTCAAGTCAAGAGAAGTAGAGTTAATAATCAGTTCTTTCCATATGGCATAGAACTAATGGATTGTTAATTTTATCACAATAGACTTAAATAAGATTTTCATTCACTTGAACTCGTAATGAAAGAATTGCTAATCAGATATTCAATTTGGTACTTGAGATTTATTGCATGGTAACCTGTCGAAGCAATTAACTAATCTTTCAACGATTGATGAACTTTCTATCATTGATGAATAAACGTATATTGAAAAAAAAAAAATTAAACTAATATATAATATTTCGTAGTATATGATCATTCAATTTTGCGATGATTTCAATTCAAACTGAATTATCTATCTCTATTTGATTATAAATGAACTTCTTCATAGGCGAAGACGAATGTGTGTGGTAAATCGATTCAGGTCAAAGAATGTTTTCAGTTATTTTACTGATGATCCTAAGTAGAAAAATATTCTCATAAGAAATTTGTGTAAAATCATGTGAATTGAATGTCATTTTCAAGACAGAATATTTTTTTAAAAAGTCAGTAGATTTTCAGTTTTTTAGGGAAATGCTGAATCGTTAGCTCTGTTCTGTGATATTTACTCACGTTAAACAATTGTCGTAATAATACGTCTGAATCAGAGATAAAAAGTCGCCGAAACATCATTGAGAAATATAGAAAACAAAATGCCTTCAATATGGCTATTATAATTTGTAATCTTCACAGATGATTAAAATCTATGTTATCGAGATTTCCCGTTGTCGAGAAATACGAAACGATCATTGAAACCAGCAACAAGATAGAGTACGATAGATCGGTAGTTTTTTAGACTAGAATGTTTACTACGAAGAATTGCGTAAGAAGTTCGAATTCTCTGACGCTGTTTTCAATATTTACTTTATTAAACAATAGAAATTCTAATGGACTAATTTTCGACGATAACGATCGATGTTGCTCTTCAGTTTCACAAAAATTTTTCCTAGAACTAATGATAACATGATCAATGAACTATTTCATTTTACTTTTCATCAAAATTATCAAATTTAATTGAATAGACAATCTTATAGAAATTTTTGTCTTCTACTAAAAGAACATAATGAAACTTATTTTTAATTATAATCTGATTTATTCAGTTAAAATTAAAAAAAATCTATTTTCCACCAGTCGTGCCCATTCCCATTGATGTTTTAAAAGTGTCATAAATCCACCATTGAAGAGCAGTTATTGTTCCAATCATGATAATTCTCGTTCCGAGACC